TATGAATTTCCATTTTTCTCAAAATCCGATTGTCTGATTATTTTTTTTTTTCAAAACTTTGCAGATATGCTCTATATTATATGGACAACAACATACAAAAAATTTAGGATGATCAGAAATGGTTCGAAAAACATCAATTTTATGTACAAATCATATCTATACATATATTCATGTATAAATAACATGAAAACACCCAACAATGTGTCTTCAAATAATTCCTAGTAGTGGAGTATACCTACTAGAGGACTACACATACTCTTCTCAGTACAAGGGTTATTCTGTGTTTCTATAGAGAAAGAAAAAAAAAAAAGGGTTCTAGGAGAGAGAAAAAGAGAGATACTGATTACCCATACGGTTAAAATCTTATTCTTCTAAATATAATACGTATATTATATGCGAGAGTTATAACCACCCACAATTCTATCTCCTAAATTATTCATCCATGATTCCACTAACAAAATTAAAGTCATTCAAGAATGTCTTAAAACAACACAAAACCGTCAAAAGAACTATACAGATCATAGAAAAAGGGCTCTTGAGTGTGAAACAGGTGACCATGTGCTCATAAGGGTAATTTCAATGAAGGATCAATTGAGATTTGGCGAAAAGGCAAATTATCACATCTCATCACTATTAAAAAAAGGTCAATCACTTGATATACTATTATTGTAATTTTTTTCCCACTAAAATATGAAGTTGCTTTCTACCTCTATTTTTTACTTTTCTGTTGTATTATCATGAATCATCAGAGCAACGAGCACAGCTTGCATCGATCCTTTATCAAATAAATGCAACCTTTTCAAAAGTCAGAGGCATCCTTAAAAAAAATAAAAAAAATAAAAAAAAGTCTTTCTACATATATTCAACAAGTAAATTTAGTGCAAGTGAATGATCATAAGAAAATGTAGGTAAATTATCCATTCATATCATCTTTGTTAAAAAAAGTCAGTCACCTGGTATGCCACCATTGCATTTTTTTTTTTTTTTTTTAATTTTTGCTTTCTCTTCTCCCACTAAAATATGAAGTTGCTTTCTACCAAATTTACGTTAACCTTTTATTTAATAAATGCATCACTTTTAGAAGTTGGGGCATGTTGATAAAATAAATAAATAAATAAAAATATAAAAAGACTTTTAATTTTAACTGCATATATTCAACAACTAAATTTAGTGCAAGTGAATGATCATAAAAGAATGTGGTTAAATTATTCATTCATGATTCACACTACATCATCACTCTTAAAAAATGTCGATCACCTGACTTGCCGCAATTGCATTTTTTTTTTCTTTTTCCCCCCTAAAATATGAAATTACTTTCTACTTCCATTTTTAACTTTTCGGCGGCATGCTGATAATAAATAAATAAATAAAGATCATAAGTTTTTTGGATTTTTTTAATATTTAGTGATTCTTTTTTAAAATTTGCATCAATTTTTTTTTTTATATAAATTTTCCGATCAATCTAGAAGAATCTAAAAAATATATATTTTTTGAAAAAATCTAAAAAAATTAATACTAAAAATAAAAAAGGCAAACTTTTTTTTGTCTTTCGTGGATGTTTTAAATATTTATTTATTTGTTTACTTTGCTAATTCATCTAATCAAGTAGAACTTAAAAATCTATAATTTTTTGAAAATTTTAAAAAAATTTACTAAAACGAAAAAAAAATCCCCAAAAAAAAAGAAAAAGAAACCAATTTCAAACACCAAATTTCAAAACCTTTCATTTAAAAATAAAATAAAATAAAAGTCTATGAAAATTATTTTTATTTGCAAGAATGATGAAACAAAAATGAAATTGTCACATAATATTCTTTATATTTCCTGTATATTTTTTTTGTAAAAATAGAAATTTTCAAATTCTAATGATTAACTGTTATAAATTTTAAACATGTGACAAAAGTTAGTCTCAATACACGAGACTTTTGTCACTATAGAATCTGAAAAAGTCAAATATATACAACTTTATTCTGATTTTAAAAAAATTATTTTTATAATTTGAACTCATAATACTCAGAAACAACCTTAATGTCACGCCAAGGCCTGCCCTCATGTATATATAAAACCCCCCCCCCCCCAAAAAAAAGTATTCGATGTGTTAGGGGAAAAAAGAAAAAGAAAAAGAAGTGATTGTATCTTGGTGAAAAAAGGAAAAGAAAAAAAGAAAAGGGGCACTTACTAGCAAATCCCATACACAAAGTTTAAAATCTATCTAATCTCAAAACAAAACACTTGTACCAATTAGTTCTACATATTTTTAATTATTATCAATTTTTTTTTTTTATAACATTGAAAACGTTATTACATTTCACCACTGCCAGACTTCTGTTAGACAGTCATCGAAGACTCGCCGAAATATTCAACGTCACCGGAAGTCGCCGGAGTATCATCGAAAGTTCACTGCAGTATTATCGGAGTGTTCTGAACATCACTGGAAGTCGCTGGAATGTCCAAAATATTCGTTGAACATCAAGAACATCATTGGAGGAAAAAAAAAAAAAGGGGCGGCAAAATATATATTATTTTTCAATTTTTGTAGGGTTTAAATAAATAATCTCCAATGTTGATCAAATTGAAAAACAAGCTTTAAAATTGTAAAATGTTATAGTTTTGATACATGATTCTATTAAGCATTTATCTTCATTCATCAAACTGGAAAATATGTTATGAAACTACAAAATTTTACAGTTATAAAGAATATTATGAAACTGTAAAATTTTATAATTTTAAAGGATGATTTATTTCAACACCAAAAAAACTGAAACTAAAATTTTACAATTTTCATCGATTGTAACTAAAACTTAAAAACAATTTATTCCGAATTTGAAAATTATCTCCATTAAAACAGGAAAATAGAAGGGTGTAGTAGAGAAAAGGTAGAAAAATTGATAAATCGAAGAAAAGAAACAAATATAGAGATAATATCGTATTCCGACAACTATTTTTGGTTTAGATCTAGTTGGATTTCATGTAAATTTACTCAGATCTGACTATCAGATCTGAATAGATCTACTCATCTTTTTCACCGAAAACTCATCTCTATCGTCGTCGATGAGGGTGAAGTAAAGAGTCAATGGTCAGTAGTTTTCGGTGAACTCTAAGCAATGGTGGTCGTTGGTCGTCGAAAACTATATATTAGAAAGAGAAAGATAAGAAGTAAGGAACGATCACCGATCACCGAAAATCATGAAGAGAAAGAAGGAAAGAATAACGAATGCACACAAAGAATAAAGAAGAAAAATAGATGATGAATTTTTTAGAGTATTCAAAAGGTTGTGGGACTAAAAATAAACTTATCCTCTTTTAAATAGAACTTCTAAGACATTTGTCCACAAGTAAAAAAGAAAAGAAGATGGGCTGAATTTAAGAAGATTAGCCCGTTAGCAAAGTGTTTCAATAATGGTGTGAGCATGCTGGAAAATGAGGTTAAGCGACTGGATCTGGGTTTGGGCTCTATCCCAGTCACTGATGCATATGCGTGGTTTAAAATAATTATTTTTATTTTTACTATTTTGATAATTGATTAAAATATTTTAATATAGTATAACACATCGGATTTAGTCATGCACAATAATCACTGTTGTGCATCCTCTCAGGCTCACTTTGGATCCTTCTTCGATCGACGAAACTATTCGTTTTTTAGGAATCATCGAGTATAATATACTAGCAAAAATTTAAATTGATCATTTCATTTAATTGGATTTGTCTCTAAATAAATGAAAGATTTTGTTAATGTGTGTTCAAAGGGCATATGTTAATGATATGTGGTTTGTGTGGGTGATATTCACCATTGTAATATCACCCCACTGCTGGGATTGATTGATTAGATTCTGGAAGCACGTGATTTATCCACGAGGTTTTAGATCACAAAAGGTATGATCTGTTGATTTTATTCCGCTGCATGTTTTGTGTTATGATTTACAATATACTAGCAAAAATTTAAATTGATCATTTCATTTAATTGGATTTGTCTCTAAATAAATGAAAGATTTTGTTAATGTGTGTTCACAGGGCATATGTTAATGATATTTAAAACATTTGTACATCTTACATGAAAGTGAGTACAATAGAGAATATAAATTTCTTTTAAAATAACTTAACATATGTTTTAAAGATACATGTCAACAAAACCCATGAATAGATCGTAGGTGATAGGTGTATTTGCATCATGAAATCAATATGTATGACGTATATATTGTCGTATTGTTGTGTTGTGTGATTTCTAATTCATATATGAATCCTTAATTAAAAATACAAAATATATGAAAGCATTAAAAAAATTTCCCCACCATTTACATTTCATGAAATTTCTACTAAAATAAAATTATTCATAAAAAAAAAAATTACTTTCAACTAAATTTTATTTTTTTAATTTATTTTCTTTGTTACTAGATTGACTTTAAAATAGTAAATGAAAATATCAAATTATCTTAAATAAAAACAAAAAGACTATTCATGAAATTTCTACTAAAATAAAATTATTCATAAAAAAAAAAATTACTTTCAACTAAATTTTATTTTTTTAATTTATTTTCTTTGTTACTAGCTTGACTTTAAAATAGTAAATGAAAATATCAAATTATCTTAAATAAAAAACAAAAAGACTACTGACTCCAAAACAAATTTTACATATATATATATATATTTTTTTTTTTCAACTAGATAAAGTTATATAAGGAATATAAATAAGTCATACCACCCCTTAGTGAAAATAATATTAAAATATACATTTATTCATCTATTAAATAGGTTATTTGTGTCAACTTTTTATTATGTAGATTAGCCACTATTTGACATTTTTATTTATATGTTATCGTATCTAAAACTTACTAATCCTAACTCGTTAATTTCGTACATGAGTCGTGTTGTGTCAAAAAATTTCATGAGTCATGTTGTGTCAAAAAATTTCACCTCTAGTACTTTTCAAATATGTCTCTAAGTAAACATAAAGCAAACAATGTATGGATTAAGCACTGCAACTACTTACAATAATTAAGAGGGAATAAGGGAAGAAAAACTTGCATCACAGTGAGACTTGCAAACAATTTTGTGGTTACAAGTTATGCCCAAATATGATTAGGCAACAATGCAAATGCTAGTTCACTATAGTGAATTGTTAAACAAAAATATACAGAGAGACTACAAACGATACCCAAATTCAGGAGATTCATCTTGTCAGAAACCAAATCAATAAGCAAAACACGAAAGGATTGTTTTCATCTTATGAACTAACACATGCTCAAGAAACCTACAACATGGGAATCTGATAGCATCAGCATAGCAAGTTCTTGCTCAACCACAGTACATCTATGATTTGTCGAGGGAAAAGAAAAGGAAAAGAAAATGGAAGTTCACGCCTACTCACTGCGGCTCCAACTTCGAAGGAGGAAACGCTCCGCTATAAACAAAGAGGCTGTCATCACTATAAGGATGGTTGTACCCTCTGCTATCCACTTCATGGCTTGCTGACGTGGATGCTGAGTCAGCATTTGGGTTTAGACCAGCAATTCGCATAATGTTCTCAATCTCATTTACCACCTCACCCATTGTAGGCCTCTCGGCTCCTGCATCTTCAACACACTTCATTGCTAGATCCACGAACTTATCTAATCCTCCCAATGTGAGGTCCAAAATGGTTGGGTCAAGAAGATCGTGAAGATTATATCTGACTTGTGTCTTGTCCATTTTCAGCTTCACCTCTCTTACAATGTATTTGCCTTTCTCAATTGGCTGTCTTGCAGTTACCAGCTCTAGCATTAGCACTCCAAAGCTATATACGTCACTCTTTTCAGTCAACTGTTGTGTCATGTAATATTCAGGATCCATATAACCCTACACCAAAAATTTTTTTGGCTCTTAGTCCAAAAATCGTAATTGATATCATGCATCTCCAAATAACTCAAAATTGTAGCCTTGTGGTCCCATAAATTTGTTGAAGCCCTGATTTTCTTTAAGCAAATATAAAATGATGCCCTTCCTTTTTCACAATGTATAAGACATGCACAAAATAAAGAAACAAACAGAAGAGAGAAGACTTCTGGACATAAAACAGACTACTAATTAATTATTTTAAACTGTTGTGAAATGTCCTCTATTTATTTTACATTAATGAGTACGGTAAGGGGCCTTTTGTGGAGGGGGAGGACCGAGACTGTTAGCTGGTATATATTATAATTTTCAGGTAGGGTTTTATAGAGTGCTCAAAATAGAGAGCTGTGTTGAGAGGTTAATAGTCTTCTCATAATCCTTATGACTATAGTGGATTTGTTCTCTCTGTGTCTCCATTGTGGACATAGGTACCTGCCAAATCATGTATATGTTGTGTTCTTATTTTGTGTGTGTGCTTGTTCCTTTATTTATTGCTTTATTGTTTGATTGAAACTACGGTTTTGCACAACATAAACTATGCCTCGTTTAGTCCCCACTGAAGGGGCCTTGGGAAGGTTACATTAGGTATAGACCTACCATTCGACATGATATGCACAAAGTGGCTACTTGCAAGTTCTGACTTACATTATTTTATTTTATTATTTATTGAGGTGGGGGAATTGGGGGTAAGGAGCCATTAAACGAGTCACCACCATAAAAAATAAAAAAGAAGAAGAAGGTTATTAATAGCTGTAGATAGGAAGAAATTACAGTATCTGTTTAGTTATCTTCTAAATAAAACACAATAAGGGGTTTCATTTATTATTGTATTTGGTTCAGTGTTCACCACATGGACCTCTATGACTACTTGAGAACTGTTTCACAAGAATTTCTCATAATGGAGAACTGCTAAAATAGATGGATGATTGCTAGAATTCAGATGAGCTCTGTAAAAATCTTATCATACTCAAATATTTTGTAAATTAGTATCCTTTCAAATGCAGGGTTACGAATAGAATATACTGACCATTGTTCCCTTGACTTGAGTGGTAACATGACCCTTTTCTACATCACCCATAAGCTTGGAGAGACCAAAATCAGAAACTTTTGCATTCAAGCGTTCATCCAATAAGATATTGTTAGATTTGATGTCCCTGTGTATAATCGGAGGGTTGGCAAGTTCATGCAGATATTGCAAACCTCTTGCTACTCCAAGGGCTATTCGAAGCCTCCTCATCCAATCCAACCTGATTCCTGTCTTGCCTGCACAAGTAAAATTTATTTTAGTTATTATTTTTCCATTGGATGCCTCTGTTCCCCAAGATAATGGGTCTGGTAGTGCAGTTTATGAATTGTATTATTATTTATTCCTGAGTTCTGCTATAAAAATAGAAATTTTGAACAAAATGATGCAGTTGAACTAGAGCCATTCATTTTAAGACAAAAATCCCATCAAGATGACCCTTCATTTCCAAAATGTCATTGCCACACAATCCTAGATGTTTTTATGTATAGCTTTTCTGTAAGAATAGACTATTCCTCCATTCCCCTCTTCTTTCGCTAGAGAATAAAAGTTATGTAAAACATTCAAGTTTGAATGAGGTACAAGGGCCTGTTTGGTGCATCTTATGGGGCTGATTATAACTTTTTGTTTTGAAATTTTGTGCTAGAGTATTTCGTGTAACTTCTACTTATTATGAGGCAAAAATAGCTTAAATAAACTGGGGAAAAAAAAAAGAAGATTATTGAGAATAAGGGAAATTGGTGTTTCTAGCTTCTGCTTCTAATTATCAGTTTTTAGTTTGCAAGAAGCAGCACCAAACAGGCCCTCAGAATGATGAGGCCACAGGAGCATTTCGATTTCCATTTTTTGAATGTAAAGAATCTTGTATTCTACTCTTTACTTTTTTCTTATTCTTTTTTATATTTCTTCCTCAGCTAAAATCAACTCACACGGGTATTCACTAGCAAGTTGCAGACAAGTAATGACAAACTTGTGAAACAAAGAATGCCATTACATGCATTAATCATAAAGAAAGCATATGAAGCACAAGATTAGGCTATGTTTGGATTTAGGATTTGGGTAGGGACACGTGAGGGAAAGGAAAAGCCGAAGGAAATGTGAATGAAATATAAAAAAAATTTCTCCATTTCCCTCACCTTTTCCTTTCCTCTGCCTTTTCAAATTCCTATCCAAATCTATGATCCAAATCCAGCCTTAGTGTCCATCTTTGGTGGAGAAGATTAGGAAATGAGTGTAACTACCTGAAAGGCTCTCCTTCAGTGTACCATTTGGAATATACTCATACACCAACATATGTTCGACTTTCTCGAAACAGAAACCCAACAAGCTGACAACATTCTTATGATGTACCCTTGATAGAAGCTCAATTTCAGTTTTGAACTCATGACCACCCTGCATAGATCCTTGTTGAGCCCTTTTGACAGCAACTAGTTGCCCCGTGGGAAGAGCTCCTCTATATACCTATAAATAAAATGAAAAGGTGAGAATATGGAAGTCATACTGCACTGAGAAATACTTTTCAAAAACATTTAAGGTGGATAACAAATATGCTACCGAAAAAACTAAAAAAATGGAAAGACGCTCTAAAAATGAAAATTAACAGCACATAAACCAGAAATAATAAATTGGGCAAATTATGCCATTGATCCCTATAGTTTAGGAGTAGTGTCACTTTAGTCCTCATGGTTTCAATTGTGACGGATTTAGTCCCTACACTTTCATAACCAAATCAAATTAGTCGCTAAGCTTAAAATAAAAATAATATATCATCCCAAAAGTTTGATTCATTGCTATAAGGCTCATCTATTTAATAGTTAAAGTATATTTTACCCCTTCTGATACTTTTAATTGCAGAACTTAGAGCCGAAATAAGTACTAGTTTGAGATATATATCTAAATTAGAAAATTACTTAAGAGTAACAATTCTTTAAATACTAGTTTGAGATATGTATCCAAACATGCCTTTTCTAAAGCTATTTGTGCCTTAAGAGCAACAATTATTTAATTATAATTGATTATAGACTGCCCAAATGGAATAGCTAATATAGAATTTAATCTAATTAACTGATTTTCTAATTCAGATATGTATGCCAAACTAGTATTTATTTCGGCTCCAAGTTCTGCAATTAGAAGGGACAAAATATATTTTAACTATTAAATAGATGGACTTATAGTAATTAGTCAAACTTTTGGGATGATATGTTATTTCTATTTTAAGCTTTGGGACTAATTTGATTTGGTTATGAAAGTGTAGGGACTAATGCTGTGTTTGATTGGGGATTTGAGGAGGGATTTGGAAAGGAAAATGGAAAATGTAAGTAAAATGTGAATAAAACATACCTATATTTCACCTAGTTTCACACACCTTTTCCCTTTCCCTTTTCAAATCCCTCTCTAAATCCTCCAACCAAATACAGCCTAAATCTGTCACAATTGAAACTATAAGGAATAAATTGATATTGCCCGATGGTATAATTGACCCAAATATTATATATTTGCTTTTCAGAATTTTCAGATAACTATGCAAGTATGGTAGTGTTGTAATTATTTGATTTATCAATGAGACGCCTGGATGGTTCATACAATTTCAAAGATCACATGCCTACTTTTCATTAAATATAGACCCAAATTTTTTTTTTATGAAGACAAGAAAAGATTCACAAGCTATTCTCTCCAGCAACAAGAATATAAAAAATTAACCTTCCCATATCCACCAGCTCCAATAACGTTGCCTTCTGAAAAATTGTTTGCGTATTTCTTAAGCTCTTCAAATGAGAAACTTCTAGCACCTTTTAAGTGAGGAACATCACCGCTCCTTTTATTTTGTTCCCAAGAAGCTGCATTGATATGACATTAAGGCAATAACTCAAACCCACGAAAAAGATATGATTATGAAAAAATACTTTGTTAAGATTATTTCCAAATTTTACCAAAAGGATTGTTCTGTTTATCAGCTATTTCAGCTCTTCTCTTTTGACGGAAAGCATAAATTCCTGCAAGGAGAGACAATAGCACAAGGACCGAACCACCAATTGCCGCTCCGATAATTATGCCAATACTCAATGATTTGCGTTTAGTTCCTTCTGGATATGATATGAGAGAGAGAGAGAGAGAGAGAGAGATTAGGATAAGACACAACAGAATCTGTAACATATTTATCACACATTGGTGTTAATACCTGCAAAATACTCATATAAGTCACCAATGAAAAAATAGGGTCCAAAAGTGACATTGTTAGGCTTGAAAGTTTGGTTGCTGAACACAAACCCAATCCCAGAAATTCCTGTGCGATTGAAACGGTCTTCACCATATGGAAAAAATTCTACGCTTAGCACAAGGTAATCATCTGCATTTTTAGTCGGATTACTCAGATAAACTGAATCCACAGAGAGTTGATGGGACCGGAAAAACGTCATCATTGACTCTGCAAGAGACGTGTAGATACCGGAGTTTCCCAGGTCTGAAAAGGAAGGAGCTCTGAAGAACAGGGTACCATGGTATGGATACGCACATCTACAGTGGGGGCTAGAAATTTGATTTGAACTGCACATAACAGGAGTGCAATTATCTGGCAGTGTTGTATATGAGGAGTTGGGCTGTTGAATGGTACAGTATGCTTCTGTCACTCCTGTTTCCTCGCAAACTGGATTTCTTGCAAGTCTGCCGAAAGTAAAGCAAAGACAAGTAAATAGATGATATGTCCAGTCAATATAACTTCTGAAAATGAATCTAAATATTATGCTCCATTTCTTTGGGCGGACAACATTTTTTGGCGTTTGGTACAACAGAAAACAAACTTATTTGGGTGGAAAATGTTTTCAACTTTTAAGAGGTGGAAAAAGTTTTCTGGACCACCGCACTACCACCACCACCACCACCACATCACCACTACCACCATCATTGCCACTACCCTACCACCTCACCATCACCATCACCGTCACCGTCGCCCCACCACCACCGCCACCGCCACCGCTACTGCCAGCTCCAAGCCACCACCACCACTACACCACCACCGCTACCATCTCTGCCTCCAGCTCCACCACTACTAATACAATCATTAGTACATTAATTTCGAAGACGCACCTATAGGAAAAAGTTTTCTTTAAAAAATATTTTTTGGAAAAAGTTTTCTGTAGAAAATTCTTTTTGCCGAAACAAACGGAGCATTAGTTCTTTAACACCATCTTGATGACAGAATGGCCAAAAGTCAAATGATATAGTTTACTGCTTACATTATCTTAATCTTGCCGTTTGCTATCTTTGCAAAGTCACCAATAGAAACTACTAAATTGTTCTGCAAATCTATAAGTCGCAGTTGTTCGCTATAGCTGGAGCCAACATCCAGAGTGCCATTAAGCTGATTTGTCCTTAATACACTGAGACATGCCAAAGCAGTTTGCTTATGATTATAATGGTGATGACGTAAGATATAAAACTAGAATCAATTGTGCTAAAACATAGGGAGATAAGTCCTTTAAATTACTATGGATTCTAGACTATCATATGGAATGCATTCTTGTAGGCCATTATAATATGAGATTAAACTGGTACTTACACAGTTTGTAATTGAGGAAGGCTGAAGAGGGTGACCGGAATTGAACCTTGAAGTTGTGTGGATTCCATCATTCTGCCAGTACAAAGTTAGCCGAAACATATTTATAGCAGATACTCTGACAAGCTGTTTGCAAGTGCATAGAACCAGACACTATTTGTCAACAAAGAATGAGCGCACACACATACAGGGAGCTCTGCTTTTGTCACATTAGGGGTTTAAGCCTTTATCGTGACATAGCTAGTTCCAAGCCAAAATAGAAGGTTAGCTGAAATTAAGTCAATCCCTACATCCTCCTGATCAGTGGTGATGGAAACAATAATATCTTTGGTTTAATGATTATGATAAGCATCTTTCAGGGTTCTTTCAACCAGATTAGTCTGTTTGCTGCAGCTCCATATAACTTTTTGTTTTGAGAATATGTGTAGTCAGAGTGTTTGGTGCTTCTTTTGCTTACTGCTTATGAGGCAGCAATAACTTAATAAGCTGAAAAAACTTATTAATGAGAAACAGAGGGAGAATGCTGTTAGCTTTCGCTTTCTAATTATCAGTTTTCAACTTGCTAGAAGTTACACCAAACAAGCCCTATGAAAGATTGATTCCTACGTCATTTCCCCCCCTAAATTGATTAGGCAGCGGACATCATCAAAGCAAATAATAGAATTCTAGAAACTTGATCCCCCAAAAGAAAATCATCAAAAGGTTCCTTAAATTTAGTGACATTATTTCAATATGAAGTCATCCTTGGTCATGTCAGGATGAAGCCATATAGATTCTAGGTCTCCATGGTAATTTTCTGTCTAGTAATTTGAAACTCTGCCAGATGCCCTACAACCATGTTTAATAGCAATCAATAGTTTGATCCAAAAATCCAATTCCTATGCTTAGGAAATCATAAACCATAGAGGAAAAAGAAGGTTGCTTTAGGTTGAAAACAATGCAAAACCTTCCCATTAAATCCATCTAAACATTAATAACATTCAAGACAATGCCCAATGATGCGGGTTGTTTGCTAATTATACCTAGTTTATCTTCATGTGGATCAAAATTCCAGTTTCAGAAAAAAAATTAAAAATTAAAAATTAAAAAATTTAAAAAATTAGAAAGGACTAACCCGGAATAAAATGGGATTAACCATAGTATGATCAAGGCAGGAGTACACTAATGAAGTAATGGTGGACGGAAAGACAACACCAAAAGTTGAAATATGAGTGAGTCAACGAATTAAGAAGATGTTGCAACTTGGAATAAGAAATAGAAGTTCTATAAAATCATGAGGCAAGTCATGCATTATGGTATACAATGATAGGCTATCTGAAGCAAATTTTTGTAATTTTCTTAGCTGAAATGCATAGGTTTGGATGAATGACTGGTAGAGGAGAAAAGATAGGCCTAGAAACAATTTGCTTCACCCAAAACTGGGAAATGAGAACAATATAAGAAAATTGGCTGCAATGGCTCAGTTATTTGTAGCAAAGCCCACAAGAAAACACCACCAAGCAGTGAAAATTTTCAAGTTAAAGATATTCCAAAGACAAAGAAAGCCAAAGTTCATGATTAAGACTGTGTTAGGATCATGGATTCGGAAAGGAAAAGGAAAAGACTACATAAGTGGGGAAAAAAAAAAGAGTTTATTCCATTTACATATCCCTCACCTTTTCCTTTCCCTTTCCAAATTTTTACCCAAATCCATGATCTAAACAGACATAAGTGGGCATAAAGAGGCATGATCACTATGATGCAACAAAACATAAGAACCTAGACAAGGCTAAATGGTGGAAAAGGACTCCTATAGCATTTTTTTAAATAGTTCAGAGAATTCTTGTTAAGTTGTGTATTTGTGTGTGATTGCATGCATGTATGAGTATCGACTATAGAGAGAGAGAGAGAGAGACATACAATGTTGTCAAGGACTTTAAGGTTGAAAACCACGGAGGAAAATATGACACATCAAAAGTATTATTGCTCATATCCCTGCGAATAACATTTTGGTCAAAGAATAAAATTAGAAAATGCCATGTATTGTATAATTATGAAAAAAAAAGAGAGAGAAGAAAAGATGATAGCAAGAATCATGCATTTGTTTGAAAAGAGAAACAAGGAATTAACTAGATCATCCATTTGAAAAGGTGTTGCTTCTTACACATAGTTGAGAAGAGTCATGCCCGTAAGATTCGGCAAGGGGCCAGTTAGTCGATTGTTGGATAAGAACCTAAAAGTGGAAAACCAAAAGCCTGAAATAATAAGCTGAAAATCTAATGCAGGATAAGTTGACTACCTGGAAACAAGTAGAGATTCTTAAATTAGAGAAGTATTTGTTTTGTCTACTTACAGCTCTTGGACGTGTACAAGGTTGTTGAGGTTTGATGGTACAGGCCCAATTAGTAAGTTCCTATCAAGGCGTCTGTTGCAACACAAGATATACTCAATTCAAAAACTTTCATGGAAATTCACAGATTGCAAGTATCTTGTTATGATTTTATAGGGTGTGGTATGTGATAGAGATACTCACAGCACCTCCAAAGTATGCACGAGTCCTAGCGTTGAAGGGATGCTTCCCCAGAGGCTGTTGCTTTCAAAAAGCCTGCTCAAATTAATTCACGTGAAAGTTTTGAAATTATTTTCCAGATTGAGAGTATTTTGTATGAGAATTGGACTGCCCAGAAACTAAATCCAACATTCCCCCCATCACACAAAAGAAACAAGCCCAACAAAGTGAACACAGAGTCATCTTTGAACTGAAAAGTTTAGAACTTACACATGTATCAAAGTCATCTTTGAACTGAAAAGTTTAGATGGGATTTCGCCAGAGAGATTATTCTTTCCAAAATGACTGTACATAATCGAAAGGTCATTAGTATATGAAAATAAAAAACATAGAAAGGACTAATTAGATTAAATACACATGCACACATAGACTGATTGGACATACAAGTGCTTCGTATTAACCAGCATATCCAGACCAGGTGAGACAGGGATAGGTCCTTCAAGCTTATTGTCAGCTAGATCCAGCCAATAAAGTTTTGATAGATTACCAATTGCAGGCGGTATGTTTCCAGTGAAGCTGTTGGAATTTAGAGATCTGAAAAATACAAAATAAAAGTATCGAAATATAGGCCAAGACATGGAACTGTTCGGTAACTAGCAAGTCATACTCAAACATTCAGTAAAGGCACAATTCAGCTGAAAATTTTTGGAATGGAGATATGTGAAAGGTTAGATGCTATGAATGCAAACAATGGAGCTTCCAATGCAAGATTTGAAGGACCAAAATATATCCCGTATTCATTTTTTCTCCTTTTTTGAAAGCATGAAGGAGGTTCATCCCAAGAAGTCAGGTATGGAAGCAATTATTCTTGAAAGGTAAATTTTTGTAAATGAATTATTTGTGCTCAAATAAGAGGGAGCATTCAATTATTGTGTCAAAAATATGTGGAAGGTTGCAGTTAATGTCCTTTACATTTTCTGATTATTAAGATAAACTGTTTCACCCTCAGAAATTATTGGAATAATCAGAAAATATAAAGGACATTAACTGCGACCTTCCACAGGTTTTTAACACAATAATTGAATGCCTCCTCTAATTTGAGCACGTATAATTCATTTACAAAATTTTAAATTTAACTTTCTGCAATACATATGAAGGAATGCTGGAATGAGGAAAACTACGACCATGTTATTCCTACCGAAAGAAACTAAAATGGTAAAACCATGCTGTCACTTTTCTGGCGAGACTTCCATATCTTAAGTTACACAAACAGAAGAAAAATGACAAAGTCCAAACCCTTACAAAATGCGCAGCTGCTGCAGAGATCCTATTGTGTCAGGAATTGGACCACTGAAACCGCAACCAACTAGGATTCTGAGATGCAAGTACAAACAATTGGTTTATTATAAGGTTATTTATCCATCTTAGTAATCACCCACTATATAAAAACAATTAAAATTTTTCTTACAGGTTTGTTAGCTTCTTCAATTTTCCAATTGATGGAGGAAGAGATCCTGTTAAACCCTTGTTGTAAGATAGATCCCTATATGCAGAAGCTAATTGTCAGAAATTAATTTTACTAATTCTTATGAGGAAGTAATGAAAAAGAAAAACAGTGACAACTTCAAACAATTATTATTTCTCAAGATTAATACTTGTCGCACGCACTAAGTCTAGCATTAGAAATTTTATAATTTTATTTCTTAATATTTATTTTAATTATAGTTTAATTAAGAGTCTAATTAGAACTCTTTGATTTTTATTTTATTAAGCATTAATTAGGCTTTAGTTTCTTATTTTGGAATTTGGGTTAATGGTCTATAAAGATTGTGTTTTGCATTTTATTATTTAGATTTGGATTAATAATGTTGAGTGTTTTGGTTTTGGATTAATTTCATATCTTTTTTTACTAAAATATTCCATAATGGTTTGGGTCTTCCCTTTCCATCTACAGTGATCATATATCACTCTTGCTATTATTTCTACATGTGTTTATTGTCTATGACCAAATCATCTCAGTCTATTTTCTCTCAAATTAGCTTCAATTGGTGCTACTTCTAGCATTTTGAGAATGCATTCATTTTTAATTCTATCTTTCTTGATGTTACTACACATTCATCTTAAAGTCCTCATCTTAGCTATACTGTGTTGTTATTTCTTACTTGCACAACATTTGTCTCAAAAAGCATCATTGGCCTTATAGTTATTCCATAAAATTTCTTTTTCAATTTTGTTGGTATTCGTCAATTTCATAATACACCAGAAGAGCCAACCTCTCGCATCATCTCCAACCTTCTCATCTTTATAAATAATTGAATCCAGATAATAAAATTGATCATTCTTTGATATATTGGTTTTTGTTCTTCATTTATCCACTATTTCTATTATTATTAGTTACACTCCATATTTTAGTTTTAGTCCTACTTATTTTAAACCTTTTTTACTCATATTTCTCTCCAAATTTGTGATTTAGTGCTACCATATATTCATCCTAAATGTATCTAGGCAATTCATCCATGGCTAGGAGGGAAGGACTCGAGGTTAACCTTTGGTGTAGTCCAACATTGATTGGAAAGTCACTTCTTTCTCCGGCAAGTGATCTAATTGTAGCCATAGTCCCATCATACAGATACTTTATTGTATCAACATACTCCCTTGCCACTCCCTCTTTTGTGTTTTTTCTAACACCTACCATATTATATCTCTAAACACCATATTACAAACTTGTTCTAAATTTATACAAAGTATATAAAGATCTCTTCTTCTACCTCGCAACCTTTATATGTTAAGTAATCTGTTTTTCTAATAGAAAATAATCTGTTTGACTCCCTTATAAAAGTTTAATTATTTGTTCGTAATTAATGAAAATGAAAATTAGCAATCAACTGTTTAATATGTATTATATAGACGAACCAACAAGGAGCACTAATTGATGATAAATATGATGAGTGCCTCGCATAACCAAAAATAATTAAGTGATGTAACCCAGCAATGAATGGTGGTCTTTGAAAAAGCCAAACAAGTATGGTAGTCCAGAATGAACAATGTTAACTGAATAACGCTTCATTAATTAGATCTATTTATGGGAGAAGAGGGACAAAGAAAATAGAAGACCTACAGAGCTTGTAATTCAGACAACAATTCAATTTCCCCAGACAGCTGACCAACCAAACCCACGCTTGCCAGCGTTCTGGAATTGAAGGTAATAGTTAACCTCAGTTATAAAAATGCAACATAATCAACACTCCATAAGCATTAAAAGGAAAAGCACAAATATTTTTTTATTTTCCAGCAAAAGGAAAAACACAATTAGGGAGTTACATAGATGTCACACGTGAATTGGTGCACCGAATTCCATCCCAACTACTGCCACATGGATCCGACCCAACCCAATTGGGTGGTGCGTTTTGCCAGACATCTTTGAGAGCAAATAGAGCAATATCTACATCATAAATAAAACAAATTTGAGTTATATCACAGCTCAAAATCACTAACATAAACTCACCAATCCATTCCTGATAGATGAAAGAACCTAGCAAGATAAATCATGAAGGATTAGAATTGAGTTCAACCCATTTTTGCATGAGGATTCAGGAATACAGACGTGAGAACCCAACAGCAGCTAGAAATCCAAAAAAAGAAAAAGAAAAAGAAAAAAGAAAAAGAGGAACAACTTTCTAGAGCTCAGCCTCTTAACAGATTTCATTTGACCAAGAATTTTCTAGTTCAAGGATTACCACTTCTGAATAATCAAGAACATATGATATTTCAGTTAAAGAACTGGGACATCTAAAGCTTGCTTCCAAGTGACCCCAAAACTAGTATGCAGGCTGAAAACTTGATGCTAAATAAGACCTAAGATTTCTACTTTCGGAAAGCAGTTAACACATAGTAGGAATGCAACTATGTATTCCAGAGGTGGGAAAGGATTCACATCCTTACATTGTGGAAATTATTCCCAGGTAAATTAGAAAACTCCAGACAGAAATGGCCTCTTATAACCCAGTCAAGGACATAAATTTAAAATCTCTCATTCCCAACTTCCTTTTTAACTAACTTGATCATAAAATAAACTATTTCGCAACTACAGGTCTCGAATTGGAGCTTTGACTGATGACTGGAAGTTCCAAGTAAGTAAGCTTGCAGTGGTGAATCAAGAAGACCGTATCTAGGACCCTTCAAATCATGTTTGAGCCTATGTTCAAACCCAGTCCCTATTTGAGTAAGGCTCCTTTGATCACTGAAAGACTTGGGGCTAAAAATAAAAGTAAAAATATATATTTATTCAAACTTTGAATCTCAAATCTTGTGTCTTTTGGAAACCAAGAAAAGACAATATCCAGCAGCGGAGTGGAGATCATTTTAATTGTCAATATAAGAAACAACATAAAACACAATTTTTTATCTCATTTTTGTTTCTTCTCCTTTATCAGCGATCACAATAAATGAGGCGTGAGAAAAAAAACCATGAACAGGTCTAGTATATACTTTGTGTTTTTGGAGGATGCATTAACTGATGAGCAGAGATGTATTCTTGATTGTATTAATCAAAGCAAGAAAGAACACATATTGGAGCCTCTCATATGCATATATCATTCAACAATAATATAACAATTAATAATTTAGGCATAAGAATGGAACTTACAGTCATTATTCGTCTGCGCTGCTACAAGTAAAATTTGGACAGAAACAAGCAGCAGACAGATCCAAATTCTTGAACCCATTATTCAAGAAAGAACCACAGAGATTCTTGAGCTCACTGAATTACAATGAAAACACTTGGAAACCACTGAATTCATTCCTTCAGTTCCTATTGTTCACTATAACTCTTCAAGATAAGAAAGTTCTTCACGACTGTAGTCAACATATGCATAGCTGCAATTAGAAACAATATGAAAGCACATGAATACACAAATTATTTGTTTAAGTAATTACAATACAACAATTGCAATCTAATTTTTCCTTCATAGAAAATAAATAAAACAGGAAAAAAAAAAAAAAAATCCAGTTTAGTTTACTGGTTGATTGCAGCACCGAAATCAATATGAACTAATTGTAAATATGAAGGGTTTCTGAGAGAAAACTTGCTAGTCTTGTAGATACCTCAAGAAGGAGAAAGACTCAAGGTAAAATTAACGGGCCATGGACAAGTTTGATTTTTGACTAATAGATTAGTCATTAGGGGCAAGAGCACTAGCACCTTCACTGAGGAACTAATTTCCACTTGGGTCATTTTCAAGGAAGCTGTCAGCCAATTGTGCAGCATGATAATCAATGCTACAATATTTTGAAACTTTAATATGGGAGCTCTAACAATTTTAATGGATATATACAGCCCATCTAATGATATGTTTTGATTTTTTATTTTATTTTTTTGAAGTTTTCACTCAATTAAAACTTTAATTTTAATTTTAGGAGAATATATGTTGACCTTTTTTTTTAACTAGGGGTTGTAAATGTAACACCACGTGAGAATTTTGTGTGAATTTCTCTGTTTTTCTCCATTCCAATGCACTCTCATCCACACAAGTGTGAATTTCAAAATACGGATGTGTTTGGTTTGATTTTAAGAGATAAATTTTTAAGAAAAAATTTTGAATTTTTTTTTTTTTTTTTTTTTTGGGTTTGTTTAGTTATATATTTTGAAAATAGTTTTAGAGGATGAGAGTTTAGAATGATTTGATATTTTATTATAGTTGAGTAAACATGTGTAAGAAAAAAATGATTAAGAAGGAGAGGAGAAAAAAAATGGTTGATTGATGTGTAGGGGAGAGAAAATGATTTTAGAAAAACAAAATTCTAAAATCACTAAATCAAATAAAATTATTATTATTATTATTTTTTTTTTTGTTTCTTAAAAACAAATCAACCAATGCCAATAATTGCAAGATGCGAGTTGAAATTTTGTGTAACGGGGCATACACGGTGGTGTAACCTTCATTTGTCCCATCTATCTCTCTCTTTCTCTCTCTCTCTCCAAAAACAATGATCAACGACGACCCTAAGAACAGAGTGGAAAATTATTTACAAACAGAGGGCTTGTTTGGTTTATGTTTATGGAATAGTTTTTGAAATAAAAAGTGCGAAACTTATTTGGTTTGCCTTCTTTTAGAAATGATTTTTGAAAATTGTTTTGAGGAGAGTGTTTTAAAAAGAGTGATTGATTGGATGTGTAATAGAGAAAGTAATTTTAAAAAGAGTGATTGATTTTGAATTTTTTTTTTAAAAAATTTGTTTTATTTAATTATTCTTAAAAATTTATTTATAGAAAAAAAATTTCAAAATTTTTTTTAAAAAACAAACTAAACAAGGCCAGAGTTTTCCTAACACACCATCCAACAACTGTCACTTTATTAGCTATAGATTGAACAATCAATCAATATTCAATTCCAAAAGGTCAGGGAATCATAACACACACCTCTGTAAAATTTGTAATCCACTTTTCGCTGCCAGTGTTGTTGTCAGCCACAGCAGACTGGTAAGAATTCGGATCCTCGGCCGCCTTATCCGGCAGTCCTACTCGGCAGCCCTCTAAAATGACATCATTTTGGGGGTTTTTTGTTTTTTGTTTTGTTTTTTTTTTTTTCTTTTCTTCTTCTTCGTTCTTGCTTTCTCTCTCTTCGAAACCAGAGGGGAGGGGAGAGGGAGAAGAGGGAGGAAGGAGGAGGGAGGAGGCTGCAAGCTCGCCATCGCAAGAGCTTTATCCTTATCTTAGCAAAGTCTTCTCTTTACTCTAGGACTCTTGCCCCTTATCCATTATCCGCTTATCTCGGATTCTGATATCTTCGGAGATAACCTCGGCGTCACAACCAGGACACGTGGCACTTCGGCTGACACGTCGGCGTCACCTTGCCACGTGTTGGTATTCAGAAAATATATCCCCACAGTAGCTAACAGTAACACAAACTGAAATCATATAACAAAAGATGAGCATACACACAAAAATTCACACTACACTAAAATACAATAACAAATAAGAAGCAACCAAGCAAAATCAGGATAGACAGACCTAGAAATGGGATGGAGAATGCAAAGAAATTTAAAAAAAAAAAAAAAAAGTTGCTATTAATACTTAACTAATTTCTTTAGACTCTCCACTTCTTTGAAGGGTCTGGATCCTCGGTCGCCCTTCTCGGCGGCCCTTTCCTGTAGCCCCCAAAACGACGTCGTTTTGGGGGCAAATTTTCAAAAAAAAAAAAACGCAGAGGAAGAGGGAGGAAGGAGCAGAGGAAGAGGGAGGAGGGAGGAGGGAGGAGGGAGGAAGGAGGAGGAGGAAGGGAAGGGCCGGACTGGAGGGGGCCATAATCACTGGAGGAGGAGGAGGCGGAGGTGGGGCCGGACGGCGGTGGGAGCTGCTGCGACGAGCGATGGCGGGCGACGATCGGGAGGCTGCGACGGCGGGCGGCGAGGCGACGAGCTGCGACGGCGAGCTCGCAGCCTCCTTCCTCCTCCTCCTCCTCCTCCATTCTCCTTCCTCCCTCTTCCTCTCCTTCCTCCCTCTTCCTCTGCATTTTTTTTTTTTGAAAATTTGCCCCCAAAACGACGTCATTTTGGGGGCTACAGGAAAGAGCCGCCGAGAAGGGCGACCGAGGATCCGAATTCGAGTGGTAATCATCTAAAATGCAAAAACATGCTCTCTTTTTTTTCACTCTTCTGCTCTGACATCATACATACTATACATACATGGGTTTATAATAATAATAATAATAATCATATATGTTTTTGCTACTTGGATTGATTCTTACTTGGGGTGATCATGGTCCGGATTGGATCGAATTTGAGTAAAATTAGGACCAATTTGTTATCTACGAATCTTGAAAAATTAGAACTAATCCAATTCGTTTAAGTCGTAGAACCAATCCGAACCAACCCATTTAAATACGGATTGGATCGGTTTAGGATCACGGATTTATATAATTAAATAACAAAAATATATATATATAATACTTTATTTTCATAAAAATATAAATATAGCACATATTAGTTTCACAATAGTAACATGTCTTTTCATAATAACGACAAACTATTCTATAATTTAAACAACCATAAAGAAACTAATTCCATCATAAATATTTAGACCATTACAAATTAACACCAAAAACTAGCAAACAAAAGTAATAAAAGAAGATACTATGTAAGTTTAGGTTTGGATTTAAGTTTTATATGAAATGAGATAAGATACTATGCAAGAGGGTATATAATAAAATATAGACTATTGGTATACGGTCTGGATCGGTTCAAATCCGAAACTGTGGGATTCAATCCGGAACCAATCCGTGAACTACGGATTTTTAATTTTTTAATCCGAAACCAAATTACGAATTCAAAATATCAATCCAAACCTATTAAATTGGACTGAACTGAATTAAATTACGAATTTCACGAATTCCTTACTCAGCCCTACTTGGTACTTCCAAAACCCAGCAATTAACCACTGGATCAAATTTCAAATGCTGATTATAGAAAAAGAGTGGGTTTTGTTTGGATCCTTGTGTCGGACCACAGTTGACCAGAACGGGTCATCCGAAGACTCGTGGCTCTACTTCTTACCACACAAGTCTCTCTCTCTCTCCTCTTTATAATTTCTTTTCTTATTTATTTGAAAAAAATTTAATTGCTCCACAAAATAATTGTGAATTCATAAGAAAAAAAAAGTAAGATAATAGTTATTAATATTTATAATTTTATTATTGATTTTAAAATTATTTTAAAAAAATTACACTGAATTGTAATTTTCCTATTTATTCCATATAAAGTTTATTTTGTCTTAAGAAAAAGAACTTTAGTAGTCATATTTATTAGTGTAAAGTACTAATAAATTTTAAATAGTGATTTTATAAATTGTTTGATCCGTTATTTTTTTTATGGATTTAAAGGTCTCATTCTAGTGTGAATTATATAAAAGGTCAAACATAAATGCCAGCGTATTATATGTTGAGGTACAAATGTGAGTTTTCTCATAATGTTAAAATTATTAAACGTAACATTTCAAAAAAACTTTTTAGCGTATTTTTTCCAAACATAACACTTTAATGTAACACTCAAAAAATCGTACCATTCCAATTAATACACTAAAAAGCTCTTTAGTGTAATTTTCTCAAACGTAACACTCCAATCAATGTAACACACAAAAGCTCTTTAGTATACTTTTCCTAAACATAATATTCCAATGTAACATACTAAAAAATTTCTTAGTATATTTTTCTCAAATGTAATAACGGAACATTCTAGAAAAACTCATTTGCGTATTTTTTCCAAACGTAACACTCCAATGTAACACTAATAAACTCATTAGTGCACTTTTTTCAAACGTTGTAACTCCTTAGTATATTTTTTTCCAAACGTAACACTTCAATCAATGTAACTCACAAAAACTCATTAGTGTACTTTTTTCAAACGTAACAATCTAATGTAACACTTCAATATGACGCCAACAAATCACACTAGCGGAAATGTAGATCTCAATGTTGGACAACCAACACTTTGGCCACTATTTCCCCCCAAAAAGAAACTTTCGCACCTCACCTTTCTATTCTCATCTCAAAACGAATCATAAATTAGAAAAATGTATTACAAAAGAGCATTCACTTAAACTCAAATGACACCAAATCAAATAAATACAACTTTTTAAAATAAAAAAAGAATAATTGGTTCACAAGAAAACTTTTAAAACTAAATAAATTAACATTCCCCCATATAAGATTTATAGGTAAATTTTCCTATTTATTAAGATCTCAATATATTTTTATACATTTCAAAGGATTTTGACATTCTTTTATACAATTTTTAAATGTTTCGTTTGCACATTTTACACTTCAAATAATAAGCATTATGTTAATGACAATTCATCATGGAGAGAGATAAAAAAAAAATAAAATTAGGTGGTGTTTGGATTAATTTTGGAATCACAATTCCAACTAAAAAAAATCAAAACTCATAATCAAACACACAATTTAAAACTTAATTCAAATATTTATTTTCAAAATTTATAACCAAACACATAATTCAAAACTCAAAATCAAACTGTTTTAAAAACTTTATTTTAAAAAAAAAATCCAAAAAATATTTTTCTATTCGCTACAACAAAATACACCTTTGGCGACCAAAATTGGCAACCAAAAAAGATTTAGTCGCCCAAAGTTGTGGAATTAGCGACTAAAAAAATTTTTAGTCGCCAAAAGTACAATATTTAGCTGCTAATTTTTTTTTAGTTGGGATATATTGATTATTGGCTACTAAAAAAAATATGGTCGCTAAAAATAT